AAAAAAAAAGAAAAAGGAAAAAAAAAATTATAAAACAAATCTATCGACAGCGTACGAGTCGAGAGTGAGTATGAATTTTTTTTTTTTTAAAGGACGAACAATCGACAGAAAATAATAAAAATTAACGAGGTAAATATAAAAAAAAAAAAAGACAATGAGAAATAAAATAAATTAATAATAATAAGAAATATCGAGGAGAGTGAATTTAGAAATAAAATTAATATCTAAGGAAATAAATAATGATACAACAAGGCTCTTATTTCCGATCGATAAGAAAATAAATCGAAGAGTAACAATGGGACGATTAATTTTCGATAGTTTTTTTTAATAAAACAAAAAAAATAATTCTTTCTTCAACATTATTACGTTAATGAGTAATATACCAACGTGTTTTCTACTAATTTCATTTCTCGTGGTTTTCTTATTAGTCTTTTTCACCCTCGTTTTTCTAATTTTCTTTTATCTATTTTTTTTTACTTTATTTTCTTTAGACTGAATAATTATTTTCAATAAGTAATTTATAAAAATAATGTATAATTAATTATAAAATTATTTTATAGTGAATTATTACTTTTAATTCATTTATCATTTATTCTGTAATTCAAAAATTTATTGAAATCTTATAATATTGAATTGAATTTTTTATTATTTCAATGTACGAAAAAGAAATATTTAAATCATGTTTCCTAATTTAATTATTAATCATTTTGTTTCGTTATGTCAAAGAAGTAAAAAACTTTTAAAGTTATGGAACTTTAAGGAAACAATAAAAATATATACTTTTATTCCATACAATAAAATAAAATAAATAAAATGAAAAGAAAAAAATGGCAATTAAATTTTCGATTTTTACTTTCTATTTGAATTCGTCAAGAATTCGTCTGTCTTTTTCCTACGAATCGAGAAATCCCTTTAAATGGAAACCTAGCGTGAAAGATACAACTGGCAAATATTTACAAATGTAGAAATATTCAAACGGTATCTCGACGTATGTAATATATAAGTACATATTTGCATACATAAATGGTATTCGACATGGGATAAATGTAATATTTGAAATAATTTCAAAAGCATCGATTCGATAAGAATTTTTATACAAATTTTCTCTGCGATATTTATATTCTTCCTTATATAAAAATGTTCTTTTTTTTTTAGAAAAGAATTTCATGCACAGAAAATATTAAAAAGTATATGTATACTATAAATACAAATATATACTGCATAGATTTACAGTAATCATAATAGAATCAAACTTTTATAGTTTCCAAGTTATACGAGCTAGTTTTATACATGTATGTATATTTATTCCTATGTCAGTAGAGAGAAAAGACGATTTTATATCGCGTTAATAAAAGTTTATGTTTCTTTTTTCTTTTTCTTTCTATGTCTATCTCTTTTTCATTCTGAATGTATGTGTTTTTCTATCACACGTTTTCAAAGTAATAAAATAAAAAGAAGAACAAACAAAACAAAACCAAAAAAAAATGAAGAAAAATCATCCTGAACAACGAATATGTATGACTGATATGAAACAAACTTCCAACTATTATATAAATACGTATGTTGAAATTGTTTGATGATTAATAAAATGAAAACAAACAAAATAATAAATAAAAGAAGAAAGAGAGAGAGAGAGAGAGAGAGAGAGAAAAAGGAATAAAAAAAAGAATAAAGAAGTTGAAAGGAAAAGCTTTTTAAAGGGACTGTTGGTTTGACTATACTTTTCGTATTTCGGATTGAATATCGATGATACGAGCCAATAAGGTTTGCCATTCGCTACAAACTTTTATTCGAGTTTCGTTCCGATACTTTCATGGTATAGTACGATATTATATGTAAAACTAGGTATAGGATATAATGATATATCATTTTTAAGTATATATATATAAGCAGAATAAATATTAATATGTAATATAGAGTGAAACATTCTTTATATATTGTTGACCAAATTAGGATTGAAATTTTGTTAGTTAGATTTGTTAGAGTGAGTTTTATTTCAAATGTAAATGAAGATAGTTATGTCTATATGTAAAAATAGTCAAGAATATTCTTACTTTCTATATATCCATAATTTCTTTTTCATTAAAAATGTATGACGTACACATTTAAAAATGTATATAATAAAATGAAATATTSTTTATAATGTGTGAACTAAAGTATCAATTCTAAATATGAGATGGGTTTATTAAAGTGAATTTAAGAAGAAATTTAAATGAAACAATGTGATTATT